TACTAACCTTATTTTTTTTAACCCGCTCTAAGTTTAGAAGAAAACGACAATGTTACGATAGATTTTAACATTAAGTGTTAATTTCTTGTATCTAGAACTATAAAAACCAAATGAAAATTAACCCGCCGGCCTTTTTCGTTATTTTATGTTATTTTTATTTTCGCCAGCGGAAACGTTCTTTGCCCTTTTGTAACGCGGTTTCGCTGCGGTTCAACCCACCGCTCGAGTATAGACAAAATTTGATCTTCACTAATCTGTGATCAAGTAACACAACGTGGGCCAGAAACAGATTAAAGGACAAAGCGGCAAGCAGATAATCTTTAACTGACCGGCAGCAGTACTGACCAGCATGGGAAGGTTCCAGTATCGAGCCGGGTCAACTGCGTTATAAAATAATCAGGTAGACTAGGATCTCTAGCATGGGTGGTAACTAGTTTAAGAGAAAGAAAACTGTATATAATTTTTTTTTCTAGAACGTCATGACTGGTCAAATATTATCGCCTGCGTCTTACGTGTCATTAAAAAAATTTTGAACTACTTATGTGACAATGCTGGAGATAAAAAGATAAGATTCACAAACGAAATGATAGATCTACAAAGATAGACCACATAAAATTGTCACATATTATGTGAGTCCGTGTTGCACACGCATACGCATTCAAGTCTGACTGAAAGAATTGGTAGACAGAGTATATAATTGGAAAGACAGTAGGCCGTTGTATGTATTAATAGATCGTTTAGGTTTTATCCGATCTGAAACATGAATTAATTGAACCGCTGGTGTCCAATCACCAAAAAAGCTCAAAGATATCAACTCTTTGATTGATTGATCCAAAAAGACATTCGTTGATATGGACTGAATTATTGATCATTATGCTCCAAATTCAATATTTCATCGACATTTTCAGCGAGGGCTAGCAATACAGCAGATTGTGAATGTGACTATTGATTATTAAAGCTTACACACACACACACATACACATACGCTAAACACACACACACACACACATACACACATACACACTAAACACACACATACACACACACACTAAACACACACACACACACACTAAACACACCAACAAACTCATATATATGAGGCTTAACCCTTATTCCGTATCCGTTCTATTTAACAGAAGTGTGTGTATACGCGTGGGCCTTTTCCAGATCGATGTAATCGTTGAAGAGAACAAGCTGTCATTACAGCTGTTATAGCTTAGTGTAAGGCCTTCCTTATTATGAAAATCTCCACATGGCTAAGTATTTATTATACGTAGGCAGATCATAACTTGTTTGAAGACGGAAAAAGAAGGTGAAACCACTTGCATTTGTGTTTCCTGTATTGGTGTGGATTTTCTAAGTACTTAACTGTTTTCAGGATAAAAAAAAAGCCTCTTTGCTAAAATTTGGAATGAATCTCCTTTACTTGATGCTTACTTCCTATTTATTTCTGAACTATTTGACTTTGGACTTAGAACTTCAGCTTATATTTTATTTATTTAAAACTAAAATGATATAGGTTTCATCCTTTGGAAAAAAAATGAGTTTTTCAGTTCAATATTTGCACTACGTCTAACGTGTTTTAATGTTATGAGAATAGGTCTTCTACACACGGAACTACGAATAGATGGTATTGTTTAATGATGGACCTATCATTAAGTTCAAACAGCCCGTTCTTAATTACGAAGTCAAAATCGCTCCTAGTACATTAGCTAGCTTATAAAAAAAAAACAAGGCCTTGTTTACCAGAAATAATTTTTAATTTATACTTCAGGAAGGTGTTAAATCAAACTATGAAAAATATGACACCGAAATCCGAAAGCGCATAAAAATAACGAAATTTACCTTCCAAAATCTAAACAATATATAAAAAAAACGAAAATTTCATTAGAAATAAAGAAATATATGCGGATATGCTATGTAATATAAATCCTCCTGTATATCAGGGAATTTTGCACTGTTTTACAGATGATGACGAAATTTGAAGCAACATAGATATGGTTTTATTGAAAGATTCTGTAAATACTGTGAACGGGACATTTAAGCAACGAGGAAATTTTTTTTTTTTTTTTTCAAAAAATAGAACAAGAACGGAAAGGACATTTTTGTTTATGATTAAAAAGAGAAATTTGAAATTTCTTGGACACGTAAAGAATAAAATTGGCTTGGAAAAAATTACACTCATAAGACATGAAAATCAAGACGGACAGAGGAAAACAACAAATCTAGTAAGTCTGTTTTAAAGGTAAAAACGAGAGTGGCCGGAATAGTAAGAAACCAGACGTTATTTATGAAGGTAAGAAGTTATGGAGAGCCATCATAGATTACGCCCTGAAGGAACACGGCATATAGAAGATTCTAATTATTATCTTTCGAGTTCATTTCCAGAGAATACTAGGGACGGAGTATGTAAGCACCGAGAAAGTTTTAAATAAAACTGAAACAATAGGGTAAATATGTATAAAATAAAGAGGCAGTTGAATTTTCTGGGATACATAATGAGGAAACAATGCTTGGAGAATTTGAGACTCACAGGATATACTGAAGGCGCGCGAGAAATGGAAACGACCAGTAATTTACCTAACGAGGTTGTGCAAATGGATATCAGAAGAGTTCGAGGGAGGCATCTTCTTCTTCTTCTTTATGCGGTGTGCGATCATGGCTCTCCACAATTTACTGTCTTTTGTAGCTCTAAACCTTGTTTAGAAATCCATTTTCTCAGGCTTGCTAGGTAGGTTATGCAATGATTTCCCTTGCCTTCAGTCAGCCCGTTGACTATAAAATGTTCCAAGTCCTCATTCCTTATTATGTTCCCTAGAAATTTCAACTGACTTTTCCTGATATTAAGTATGTGTGTCCCTTTTGTTGTCATTGTCTCTAAAACTTCGTCGTTGCTCACATGTTCGGGACATTGTATTCGCAGTATACTTTTGTAGAACCACATTTCTGTTACTTCAAGTCTCTTCACCACTCAAAACATTGTTCAGAATTCACTGCTATATAAGAGGACTTATATTACATAGCTATTCACTACTCTTTTCTTTGTTTCTAAAGAAATTCTTCTGTTTCTTAATACTTGTCTTTTGGAAGACATATTTCGCTATCCCAATGTGCCTTCGGATTTCAGTGTCGCACTTTCCGTCCTCTGTTAAAACATTACCCATATATTTAAAATGTTGTACTTGTTTGATTTTGGTATGTCCAATGTCTAAGTTACATGTTGAGCGACTTACAGCCATGTATTGTGTATTCTTGCAAGTGAGGTTTAGCCTTCTCTTCTCGCTTTCTTTCACTATTTTCTGTTTGTGTCGTCTGCTTATTTTATGTTAAGATTGTGTCGTCTGCTTATTTTATGTTAAGATTGTGGTAAAAAAAAGGTGCTAAGATCAGGACTTTGCGTATAACTTGATCAATCACCTCCTGACATTAAGAAAATACAAGATTTTAATATTCTTAATTAGAGTTGCCTGAATTTTGCTCTGATAATTATTCATTTTCGTCTTGCCTTTCTCGGCTTACTTTTTGTAATTTAGCACAACGCTCAGATTATTTATTTTCGTTTACAACCATTAAGTAAGTATAATCGATCGGAGAGAAATAACAAGTTTATATAAACGTTGTAGAATAAAATAAAAAAAAAGATCTGTGCGTTGCGATAAAATGAATCAGTAAAGATGAAAGAAAAACTAATGTTAATAAATAAATTTTGCTTAGTCGTTTGGAAAGGTTAACTGGGCTTGAATTAAATTGAAGTTACGTTTATCATTGAACAATTACGGCATCCATTTCAAGGTTAATATACGCGCTGGAATTATATTAGTGTGTTCGGAAAGTAATTACGTCTTACCAGGAAGGATACAAATGAATATGTATTTAAATCAATTTAGATATTATTTATAAAATATGTAATCACTTTTTATTTTCAACGACTGTAGGCCAAACGGAAGGCCACGATCAAGGAAATCAGTTTTTCGGCGAATGTTTTAAAATACGTTTTAACTTTTTTTGTTTCTGAATATTCTGCCACTTATGATTCTAAACAAATGAAAAAAGGCGTTGAATCTATTGAGTATGGAGGATGGGAAACAAATCAGCCATGTTTTTATTTTATGCTTCCCCTAATCTTTGGATTTTAGCAAATTCGATGTATTTTATTGAGTTTTTTGAGTATCGATATTACGTTTGTGACAATGAACTTTTTTTTTAATGAATTTCATGTGTATTGATGACCTCAAATCATTGCCTTCTTTCAGACTTGTTTTTCTTAGTAATATTTCCTGTCACACGCATATACACACACACACACACACACATTATTTCTCTTTTTTCCTACCCTCACTTTCTCGTTTCCCTGTTACTTCCCTCTCTTTTTCTCGTTTCACTTTTCTTTTCTTCCCCGCTCTCGCGTTTCACTCTTCTCTCTCTCTCTCTCTCTCTCTCTCTCTCTCTATCGTAACTCTTCTCTCTCTCTCTATCGTAACTCTTCTCTCTCTCTCTCTATCGTAACTCTTCTCTCTCTCTCTCTATCGTAACTCTTCTCTCTCTCTCTCTATCGTTTTACTCTTCTCTCTCTCTCTATCGTAACTCTTCTCTCTCTCTCTATCGTTTCACTCTTCTCTCTCTCTCTCTATCGTTTTACTCTTCTCTCTCTCTCTCTATCGTTTCACTCTTCTCTCTCTCTCTCTCTCTCTATCGTTTCACTCTTCTCTCTCTCTCTCTCGTTTCACTTTTCCTCTTCTCTCTCTCTCTATCGTTTCTCTTTTCCTCTCTCTCTCTCTCTTTCTTTCGTTTCTCTCTCTCTCTCTCTCTTTCGTTTCTCTCTCTCTCTCTCTTCGTTTCTTTCTTTCTCTCTCTCTCTCTCTCTCTCCTTTCTCTTTCCTCTCTCTCTCTCTCTCTTTCTTTCTCTCTCTCTCTCTCTCTCTCTTTCTTACACAAACTACTTTTGCCCATTCTCACCTCAATGTTCACCGCCTAATTTCTTTTGTCTTCTCTAGATCCTGATGCATGGTCTTGAAGTGGGTCTCTTTGATGAAATCGAATCCAACGGAGAACCCTTGCCTGCCTCTGTAATTGCAAGGAAATTTAATTATGACAAATTCATGACGGAACGTTTCCTTAACACATTGGTGTCCTTAAGCATACTTGAAAAAACGGAACATAAAGGTGAGATTATTCTTTTAAAATATTTAAATATCTAGAAAAGGAAGAATCCTGCAGAACAGCTCCTGTTTGATAGGTCTGGATTAGTATGTCACAAGAGATGATCAAACTCACCATTCACTAGTAACCAGCGTAGCTTGATGTCATACAATTGCCCAAAATCGAAGCAACCAACACACTTAGAGCAATTACCTAATTTTATTTCTTATTTTATTTCTTTTCTTTCTTTTATAGAGAAAATCCTGATAATAATGATAATAATGTTAATGATAATGATAATAATGTTAATAATAATGATAATGATAATAATGTTAATAATGTTAATAATAATGATAATAATAATAATGATAATAATGTTAATAATAATGATAATAATGATAATGTTAATAATAATGATAATAATGATAATGTTAATAATAATGATGATAATAATGATAATAATAATGATAATAATGTTAATAATAATGATAATGATAATAATGATAATAATGTTAATAATAATAATAATAATAATAATAATAATGATAATAATGTTAATAATAATGATAATAATGATAATGTTAATAATAATGATAATAATGATAATAATAATGATAATAATGATAATAATAATGATAATAATGTTAATAATAATGATAATGATAATAATGATAATAATGTTAATAATGTTAATAATAATGATAATAATAATAATAATGATAATAATGTTAATAATAATGATAATAATGATAATGTTAATAATAATGATAATACTGATAATGTTAATAATAATGATAATAATGATAATGTTAATGATAATAATGATAATAATGATAATAATAATGTTAATGATAATAATGATAATAATGATAATAATAATGATAATAATGTTAATAATAATAATAATAATGATAATATTGATAATAATGTTAATAATAATAATGATAATAATAATAATTATGATAATAATAGTGTCTACTATTTCTTATTATAAACGTTACTTTAGTGGGTACACGTGCAGGAGTTGACTTCCCTGATTATATTTTCTTAAATAATGAAATTAATATCAGCTGCCCTAGAACGAGACTTCCCATTAAAGAAGTAGTTCGCTGCCAGACAGTAATCACAGTACTCCCTTTTTTATACGGAGAAAATCAAATCTTGCCGATACTATTTTGGCGGCAAGAAGCCATCGTAGTAAAGCAAAGCCCGATGGAATATATAACAAATGTCTATCTAATGGTATAAATCTGCTATAGGAGTGGTTTAACTGGTGAAAAAAGTCATACATGTTCGATTCCTGCCGGGAATCACATTTTTCTTTAGTAAGACTTCCCAATCTAAACCAATTCATATAAAATACCCTATTAAAGAAAACAATAAAAATGTCAGTTCAAAAATCTATACTCAATAAAAGTAACGTTTATAGAAATAATGACGGATTTAAAAAATATAATTTATAAATTATATTGTATGAGTGAATTTTCACGTGTGCGTGTGAACATTCACTCATTTAATTTTTCTTACTATGCAAACAAAAAAATATTGTGCAAATTTGTTCCTAATTTTTACGTTGTGGCAATCAAGCAGGAATCACTTTGAAGCAGTTTTCCCATGTGTGCACACGCGCATACATGATCATCATAGAAAAAAATCGTGTGTCAAGCGACTGGATCTCCCCTTTCACTTCTGCATCAACAGTGTCTAAATGAGCAGAATTGCTTCAGAGATACATTTTGCTTGAGACATGCAGTCAGCTAGTTATGTGCCATGCGTGATACACGTTTAGGCGATCATGTATCTTTCGACAGTAGGTTGCCATTTCCTTCTGTGGTAGACCAGATGCCATGCAAGGCTATAGAACCCGGTCTGTCCTGCTATTTACCCATAAAGAACTGGAGGGAGAAGAATAGGATTCATACCTTTCCTGTACGTGAATGTAATGGATTCGACTAGAATTCTAAATCGGCTCTCTCCGATTTCTCTGTTCGAGCCGCTATCCATTACACCACCGTATCTCCTTGAGACTCGCAAGCAGATGATAATTTAAGGCCTTCAGGATATACAATGGATTCGGTTAAACAGCCAAAGCATATCCAAGGAGTTAATCTATTATCAGGCTGTCTGTGTGTCGTGTGGCGCATTGGTTCCATAAATGTTCCGGTCTATTTCGATAAATTTATCTCAATCTATCCAGGCTTTCAAAATTTCACACGACGTTAAATGTCTGGCAATGCAGCCTGAAGTCCACGAGGAGCAGACATTTTGCATTCCGAAAAACACCTGCCCTCAGTTCCTTTCTTTTCGTGTGAGAGTCGTTGACAGTCGATACGTCCACGTCATGGAATCAACCTTTGACTTCAGAATAAGGTGTTGCCCTCAGAAATCACCTGTGCATAACGAAAACTCCATTAGCACACCCTCCATAGACCTTCCAAAAGGTGAAAATTAATGCCAGTGCTCTTGAACGGGAGTTCTTTAGACAATTGCATGTATTTTGGGCCTTGGCGTGCAAAATCTTTGTTACATGTCACGTCAATATGTTTGTTCCTTTTACTATGGCGGCAAACATTTTGTTGTTGTCTCTCATACGCAAGCGCTAAATATGAAGGCTAATTTAGGTGATACAAGAAATGTTGAATTCCCACATTTTTCCCCACTTCCTGTATGCGTGTATGACATCCGTCAGTCCCGAGAAAACTTGGATATGCAACCAGTGATTTATACCGTGCAGCCACCGTTATGACTGTGAAAGCCCACATGGGAGTGACAGTCTTGATTGCAACGAATGCTATATATATATATATATATATATATATAAAAAGCGGCTGGGGCCTGCTTGTGAATCTCACTGAAACTCTTAGGATTTGCACGTCCGAATGAATACGATGTCTGCTATGCTTGTTCAGCTTTCGTTCGAATGCAACGTCAAAAGGAGCCCATTGATCCATAACGAACGAGAGGAACTAACTACATACGTATATATTATTGTAGTATATAAAATACGTTGAATTTAGCATGAATTCTGTTGGCATAATAAAATTGAGGAAAAATGTATTTATACTACTTATCTCATTGAAGAAGTTATTTATAGATCAAATTTTGAAAATAAATGAATCTTATATAATGCATGCAAAATACCGCAATGGCCACTGAGATATTATTTCATATATATATATATATATATATATATATATATATATATAAAGTGATTTTTTCATGGGGACAGTAAAGATATATTAGTTCCTGATCTTCAGATAATTGCCTAACGACGTATTTTCTGAATGACTGTTTTTGTCATAAAAGCAAGATCTAAAAAGTAACCTTCACTCAGATGATTAATATATCGAATGAAACATGCTAATGATAAATGATCCAAAGGTAATTAGGATTTAGCAACTTTGGTCTTCTCTTTTAAATTCTTCAGAAATTAAGCTTTTTTCTACTTGCATTTGAATGGATTTAAAATTCCTAATGACACGTGGAACATTAAAGGCTTTTTTGTTTATTTACATTAAGGTCTTTTAATTTCTTTAAAATGCTCATCACCGAATGTCGTACTATTTTTAAAATAATTAAAGAATCAATTCTGCTAATGATAATGTGAAACATGATTTTTGCTCTTGGTATTGTTATTTCTTATTTGTATAAAGTATAACGAATGGCAAAAAATTCCTTCAAACTCTGCATTTGTCACTAGAATAACGATATTACTGAAATATGGTAAAACTGGCGAATGCGAACATTCTCGTTCAAGCAAAATAGGAACAAAACAGCACACAGTTCAGAAGTAACATTTATTTATTCTAGGTTTACACAAGAAAAACCACAAAAAATTAGAAACAGTACTTTTTCGCGATGTACGCTTATGCTGTAAATCATATTCAAGAATCAACCCCTAAATATAGTCCGCCATCATGTTTTCTTTATATGATCCTTGGAATCCAGAACGTTCTAGAAAATTTTTAAACTCTCAAAGTTCTAGAAAATTCTTCTTCAGCAACTCAGCGCTGTATGGGTAGTAATGGGAAATAGATTATTTTCAAATCATCGATGTCCAAGACGCAAAATCATAGTTGGTGGTGAATAACAGTAATTTCTTTTTTCTTTCTAAACACAAGCAATTACGAAATACTGACCAAAGATAAAAAAGGTAAACTTTTGTTACGCAGTGTAATTAAGTGTTATATTGATCTTGACTCTAATTATACAAACATAACTAAATATCAAAATAGGTATCAAAATTGTTATAATTTGTGTCGTGTTAATAAATTTGCTTTGGTTGATACCGTTTCTATTTATACTTGTCCAAAAAGGAAATGTCTGTTCAATAATGTTTTTCTTTCCTTTTTTTTAGGTACAGCATTATACAGTAACACACCAGGAACCACAAAATATCTGACTAGATCGAGACGCCCTGCCTTGATAGCCAGTGCAATGACTGAATTTAACGTTTTCCTTCCTATTTTGTCTAATTTATCAAACACAATGAAAACAGGTGAGTCACGCACAAAAGACGTGGATTTCAATTTATTTAATTTTGTTATCAAAAAAGAAGAATTCATATAAAAATCACAGCCTGAATATATCACTCTATATGTCTTCCTAAGCATCACTTATATAAAGTCAGTGAAAACATAAGCTAGTTATGATTTCTGAACAGGTTATCGATATAAATCAAATCAATGAACATGTTAAGCGTCACTTAACATCGGAATATGAGCAAATATACGCAGATACCCTTTTTATTATTGTAAAGTTTTTAATATTGTCATAAAATGCCTACGAGTTAGAAGGTTACTTAATGAGGTTGCTGCGAGACCGCAAATGAATAAAGTGCATATTACGAGAATATGTCGGATAGATAACGGTTGACCCGAGATTTGGGGAGGGTAATATTCTAGTGATTGTGAAAGCATTATTTCGGAAATCTGATCCACAAAGTTTTACTTGTTTTAAATAACTTATGTAGCTGGTAATTACACGATAAAGGATTTTAATAATTAGAAAGTAAAAAAAAAGACTACTACTACTGATGATGATGATGCTACTATTAGTAATAATAAATGTATATTCTTTTGATGTTTTCAGGAAAAGCATTCATTGACATGGCAAATATTAAAGCTGGAAAAATCGGCAGTGCTGACAGTACAGTTTCAAAAGATATTAGACAGAATAATAATTCCAACCATAACAAAACTAATCTCATAATGAATGGAAACGGTCTAGGCTCGAATGGTATCAGCACCAATGGCCCAAATGGTACCACTGGTATGGGCCCAAACAATACAAACGGAATTTATCCAGATAAGCCTACCAACGGTAGCAAACCTTCAATGGACTGCAGTTCTATGATCATGCTTTCTATGGACGGACTCACGGTCCCATGTGCCCCGGTGTTGGTGAAAGCATTTGACCTCAGCGCTCACAGAACCGCCGTAGATTTAGGAGGTAAGTCGAATTGGAACTATAAAAGTTAATTTAAAAAAAAAAGAAGAAAAAAAAAAACGTAAATGAAGAATAATTAAAACACACTCAGTTTTAAACTCACACAATTTTTATTATTTTTTTTATCTTTGAAAATTTAGAAACTATTACAGATAGTTAAATAGTCTCGACTAATATAGGTGAAAATATATGTAATGTCAGGTTAACTTTGAAAAAATATGTTTACTATAATCCTTTCTATATATTACGCTAAGGATTACAACCTATTGCAGGTACCCTGTCACCTAGTAAAACATTTTATATGTTATTTGAGGTGACATTGCAATATTGCATCCAATGCAACGAGAAATGGTTTACTGCATCCGGCATAAAACTCAAACGAGTCAAGTTATCATGAGATAATCTGACGTTAGGACTCGTGAGATAATCTGAGGTTACTTTTGACGAAGGACTCGCGAGATAATCTGAGGTTACTTTTGACGAAGGACTCGCGAGATAATCTGAGGTTACTTTTGATGAAGGACTCGCGAGATAATCTGACGTTACTTTTGATGAAGGACTCGCGAGATAATCTGACGTTACTTTTTACAAAGAACTCGTGAGATAATCTGACGTTACTTTTTACAAAGAACTCGTGAGATAATCTGACGTTACTTTTTACAAAGAACTCGTGAGATAATCTGGCGTTACTTTTTACAAAGAACTCGTGAGATAATATGACGCTACTTTTGACGAAGGACTCGTGAGATAATCTGATACTGTTTTTTTTTTTTTTATATATAACTGACGAGATCCTGAGATATTGTGATATCATTTTTAATAAAGAACTTAGGATAATCTTTTACTATTGATAAATGACCCTAATATCTCAAGTTAATCTGATGTTATTTTTGATAAACGACCCGTGAGATCCCGAGATGGCTTAACGTTATTTTTAAGGAAAGACCAGCGAGATTGTGATATAATCTGGTGCTACTTTTGCTCAACGTTCAACGAGATGCCAAGATATTCTGTTATTTGTAATAAATAACCGTCGAGATTAAGATCATCAGATGTTATTTTTGATAAGTGTCCCACGAGATCATTTGATAATCTGAAGAATATTTTGATAAATCTCAAGGGATTATGAAATTATCTTATGGTCTTTTGTGTAACAATTCACAAGTTTATAACATAATCTGATATCATAAAACACAGGCGATTATAAGATTATCATGTTTTTTTTTTTTTTTTTTAGAAAATATCCATGAGATCATTAGATAATCTCACGTTATTTGTAATAAAAACAGGCGGCTGTGAGATAAACTGATTTTTTTTTCTTTTGATTTTTTTTGATAAACGATGCATGAGATTAGATAATCTAGCATCATAGTGTTATTTTTTTTTATAAACGTCCCACGGTTATAATCCGATGTTAATTTTTATAAATTTTTAACAATTTACATATGTATTACGGTTTAGCGTGATATACGTTTCATAAATTTTATGATAACACGTTTTATATTTTTTTCTTTAGGAGGATCGGGTTTAATTGGTAGAACACTCGCCAGTGAATATCCTGAAATGAACATTACAGTTTTTGATCTCCCACCAGTTGTGCAGCTGGCTAAAAAGTTATACCCAGAAAATAACACTGGCCAGGTGACATTTGTATCAGGTGTGTACACTGCAATAGTGTATAGATATGTCTTTACTCTTTTGAAAACTTGTTTTTGTTTATGCTGTTATACATTGCAAGACTCCACTCGCTGTTACAAAGTTAATTTATGCTATTTCTCTTTCAAAAGACCTACATTAATACAGGTTTTAGCTGCTATCTGAAATAGTCAAAAGGGAAGAAGTGATTACTATGAGTTTTTATTGGGAATGGTTTTAGCGTTGTTAGGTCTCCAAAATAACCAATATCTGCCTGTATTTTTTGGCATAGAAACAGGTAGATATATTTTGCCATGGGTCATGTGTAGAGCTTGAAATATGATAGCCTTACATTTTTATATCCTGTCATTATTTGTAGACACCCCAAATGCCATACAAACATGTACGCCTGCGTGTCCTTTCGAAATTAAAGACATATCTTCCGTCAGAAATTAATGAATGCTGAATGTTTCTGGTTTGGAAAGGGTTCATTTTACGATTGCTTTTTTGAGATGTTTTTGTTAGCGGTTTAATATTAGAAATGATGAAGATAATATCTACTCTTCGCATAATTACCTGATACTATATATTATTACTATAACTATAAACTACATCCGGCAACAAGGCATCTGATCGGGAGGTTGGATGTTTTGGGGAGAGTGAAATCACGTCTTAATTGCCGTTGTTCCTAGGTCCACTCTTACCGGGAATAGTAGCACCTGTTGGTATCCCAGCTATGGAAAATAGTGGACCCCCAAGCAAAGACAAAACACTAAACTATGAAAGTATAAAAATAGATTTTAGCAGTATAAGTTTATATATTACCAACAGTACCTATTTATAGCAGAATTGCCAACAATACCTATTTATAGCAGAATTACCAACAGTACCTATTTATAGCAGAATTACCAACAGTACCTATTTATAGCAGAATTACCAACAGTACCAATTTATAGTAAAATTGCCAACAGTACCTATTTATAGCAGAATTGCCAACAATGCATTTTATCTCTAATTGAACGCATATAACACAAAATATTTAGATTTTGGCATTAAATAACCCAAGAATATTTGACATGCCGCTAAACAAAATCAACAAACCAACGTTATTTCTACATTGATGCTGCAGATTTTACTGGAAGTCATTTGTTTTTGGTTATAGGGATGATCGTATAGCGCTAATCTCCGATCTGTTAGTTTAGATTTCCAAGCATAATCAGGAAAATAAATTCTTAATTTCATGCGATAATAACACTAACTCCCCGGTCAATGAATGTTTTCTTTATGAAAATTGCTTCTTTTACTGCCGTTCTGCGAGGTCTTCCCTCACTTCAAAACTTAGACGATCAAGGCTCTCCACAACTTATTATCCTTTGTCATTTTTCACTATTTCTACCACGCCCTGTTCTAAGATTTACACAAGCTCGTTGGGTAGGTTATCCGCTGTTACTTTTTCTCCCATTTGATTTCAATAGGCCCTGTCAGTATCAAATTTTCCAAATCTTCTTTCCTTCTGGAGAACGAAATATATTGCCTCAGGTCTTTTCTTCTGTGAAGAAAGTATTCAGCATTTCGTTCCATATAGTAGGGCCGATATTACATAGTTTTCTTGATTCGTATTACCTTATTTAGTCTTTGAAAGATATGGAATACAACTTCGGATTTCGATGTACAGTCTCTGCTCGTTTTTTCCATCCTCTGTTAAAACACTCCCGAGATATTTAGTTTGTTTTTATATCTCCAATTCGTTATTCGCGTCTTAGGCGTTTTTGTTTGGTGACAACCATACATTCTGTCTTATAACTAATTGTTAATCCTTCCTTCTCGCTTTCCTTTAATGAATATCACACAGTAGCACGATGGGAAAATAATAACATAATCAAGAGGCTGATGTTCCACATTATTTCAAAAGGTTAGGAAAAAAAAAACCCTATCAATACTGGAAAGAGAGATAAGAGCTACTGGACCTGAGAAACCTGTTTTCTTGAATAATTGTTTTAAGAGAAAAGTTTTATAAATTTCAACCGACAGCAGTATTGGCTTCTCGGTCAATGAATGCCAAATGTTTCCTTATAAGGAAACGGCTAATATTACCATTACTATTTATTACCTTACAGTAACGGATTTCTATTTATTATTTCAGGGAACTTCTTTGAAGATGAGATCCCAAATGCTGATCTCTATCTACTATCACATGTGATCCACGATATGACAGAAGTACAAATCAATACACTGCTGCAAAGAGTATATAAAAAATTGCCACCTGGTAAGGTTAACGATTATTTTTTTGTTAATTTCTTATTGAAGAAAGCAACCAATTTTAAGTATTTGTTAAATCATATATAAGCCAGTCAGTAACAGTACTTTGCGAAATCTTGGCAAGAATGAAAATACTAAAATTTAAGTAGAATTTGTAGACAAATCATTTTTAGATGAAATCTTAAATATTGTTTGCCTATTAAAATGAGCGATTACCGTAGCAATATATATATTTTTTTTTAAATTAGAAAATACATTTCGCCAAATGTAAATAATGCCCATATCTTTCTTATCACAAAGTTTCAGCATTTGTGATCTATAAACTTCTTTAGATCCAGGGAAACTATCAGCATATTTCGAATTGAGCCCTTTATTTAATTTACCGATATAGATTGTTCTTGTTAAACTATCAATGTCTAAGACTATCTCGTCTTACTATTTTTAGCACTATTTAAGTGTTCTGTCCATCTGTTTCCATCGATTCTGAGTCTGTAACATCAAACTCAGGGACTGAACTCACAATTACAATTCTAACAAATTCATGAATCAACGCTTTAATATAATCGTTTTACGTCCACTTTATGGTTGTACAACTGGAAATGTTTTTGATTTTTACGAGTAAACTGAAAAATATGATATTCAAATTCAAACAGAATATTTAAAAACTAAAAAAAATTCCTTTTCAAATACATCATTATTTTTTTTTTCTTCTTATTTAGGTGGCAGCCTCCTCATCCTGGAGAAAACCCTCAATGAGAAAAAAGACGGGCCATCCTTTGCAATAAGCAATGATCTCATCATGTCGCTGATAAGCACGGGCCGTGAGCGGTCCGCAAAAGAATATAGGGATCTAATTGATGCTCAAGGTTTTACTAATATCCAGATTCGTCAAGTTGGCGGCTATAATTACTTCGACGCCATCTTGTCAAAGAAACCATTCTAAAACAACAACAAAAAAAACTTATAAGAAAGACATTATCACCAAAAAACAATTATTACAGATCAATCAAATATAGGAAAATAACAATAACAATAATATGACGACAGTAAACAACAAAGTATAGAAAAAAAATTATGCTGAGACTAACAATTTAACGAACACTGAATATCTAAAATACAAATTATGTGTGTGTCATATATATATATATATATATATATATATATATATATATATATATATATATATATATATATATACATGCATACATATGCACATGACAGTTCTATAAATGTTTGTATTAAGATGTGTGCACGTATGATGAAATTATGTATGTTTGAAGGATTTTTTAAATTGACAATATATAAAGAACTGTCCCTAAAAAAAGACAAACAGTTACAAGAACGAAACTCATAAAGATTGAAACAGATATATAAAAAAAAAATATGAATATTTTTTTTAAAGACAAATTATAAGAAAACGGCAAATGAACGAACGGAAGAGAACAAAACAATGCCAGTCGAAACATCCTGGCGTTTACATCTTCAGAAACAAACACAAAAGAACAACAAAACATAAATACTGTCTTCAACCATTTTTGAAGACATTTGTACATGCACGCACAGACACACAAACACACACACACACACACACACACACATATATATATATATATATATATATATATATATATATATATATATATATATATATATATATATATATATAATCCACATGTTTATCAATAAAAAAAAATAGACCACACAGGTGCTCTGTATTGCTACAGAAAAATATTTCTGTAAAACAAACGGCAGCTGTAAACATTATAATTATCGAATATCATTTTTTTAATGAAGAATATTCTCCGATTTTTGTGCAAGTGTGTTTTGTGTATCTGCAACCAGTTCAGTAATTTCAGACCAGAAAACAATGAAGGACTACTTGGGGCCAAGCAATTTTTACCCATTTATACTAGTAAAATCTTCACTGATAATTAAGCATTTCTGTTACAGCACAACGAACCAGATTGGGTGGAATGGGTTTATAACAGATTGCAGGACAGAAATCAAGTATAGAGGTAAATGATCCCAACTGAAAGAGACGTAGATCAAAAAGAAAGAGAGAAAGAGTATTGTTGAAAAAAAAATAATATATCTGAATGAACGAGAAAAAAAAAACTTCGGGAGTGAGTGGCCGAATTCACCATCAAACAAACTAAAAACATTTACAACATGGTGCTTAATTGTTTTTGGCTTTTCCTTCCCCCCGCCCTTTGTTCCGGACATCTGTGAGATGTCAAGATGAAAACTGCTCACCATTTTCCGCACTCTCATCATTTAGCTGCTGCTTATGTTTGCATTAAGAAACACGGCATCTGACAGAAAACTATGAACAATCATTTTTTTTTTAATGTGTAGATGGCAACTTATTGCTTCTTTGTATTGACAATGAAAAAGGGACAAGGACAATTAGGAAAACAAAAGAGAAACATATTGAAATAAAGCACCATTTTTGAATATTTAACATTTGATATCGTTTTCTAAAAAAGAATAAGATTTTAAAATTTGTAATTTTCTCAAAAAGGTATTGAATCCAGTTGAATATATTAAGAAATATCACGTAAGAGTTTACAGACGATAAAGTGACATACATGTGTAAGTTTCTATTATCATACGGGCAAAAAGAAAACAAATGAAAGAATAGGGTATTTGGTAATATAAAAAAAAAGATGAGTGGTGATATACAGAAGAAGAATTAGAATTAAGACTAAGTTGGGCCAGTTTACTTTTTTTTATCAGCTTTGAATATAAAGTGCAAGCACAATAAACGATTATTATTTTCCTTTGGGTGCGCAACGGTCGAGATTTGAGTTTATGTAAACAAATAACCATGGTTTTAAAGCAGAAAGATCAGATGAGGGTGATACAGTAGTTGATATTCCTGTTGCCTAATAATTGCAAATATAATAGTTATAAAACATATCGCCCATTTCATAAACTTTCCCTGGCCATTGAACAGGCACAAACCCTCGTTTCCTGTTTAAGATTGGGTTTCCGGTTTTTTTCGAAAGTCTTTTTATTTCCTTTAATTTCCACTAACCCCTTTGCATCTTAGTGGCATTATCGCCTTGCTTGGGGTAAAATGATTATATTTAAAAAAAATGCATTACAAACAGAAAAAATATTTTTTTGCAGTCAAAGGCGGAAAGGTTTTTATCATTATCGTTTGATTAAATTTTAAGTTTATTTAATTACGTGAGAGAGATAGAAATCGTATTAGGGTAGACCAATAAGTCCACAGACATATATGGATTTAACATTTTCACTGCATAATGATTAATCTGTGTGATTAATATTCACTGTTAAATTAAGTGCATTGACAAGGACGGGATAACGAATATTTACTTTGTTCCGTACTGAGTTACTAACCCAATGCACCTGCATGTATATATGTATGCATGTAGTCGTGTACATCTCGATATATATATATACTAATAATACAAATTAGTAATATCTACGTAAAATTGCTAGAATTTAACGTTCGATGTGATCAGAAGTTTTGGCAAGAAATTTCTCCATAGGTAACAAGAGTGACAATAATTAATAAATGTTCAAATGACTTAGTGTTAAAAGTTGAGTAATTAAACGATAAGTCATTTGAACCTTTAATTTATAGACATATATTAATTCAAACAGATTTGTTTAAATAAGTCCTATATATATATATATATATATATATATATATATATATATATATATATATATATATATATATATTATGCTATTCTTCTGTATATCTTCGAATGTTTTCGTCAAAATAAATTTTGTTTTACATTTCGATTAATAGAGATTTGAAGAGAAAATTCCACACGCCAACTAAACTGAATGCAATGGATTTATTTATTATTTCAGGCATCAATATATCAGTGTGCGTTTGGAGAAATTCGCTCACTATGATGCAATATATATTTGTCTGTTGACCCCTAGACATGACATTATTAGTGTTTGGACCCTATGGCTTTAGATGTAAATGTACTTGTACCCAGAATTATATTTGTACACACATCTCTGTATGGATCGTCGCAACTAGTTTTAGAACTCGGCTTGTATGTAATTTGAGAAAATTCTTTTTTATGTGTGCTGTTAATGGAAAACATCTCCACAGTTGGTTCGCAAGTGAACATTTGGCATTTTGGGACGTTTCCCAAGTGATATGTTCCATATCTAGTGCGAAAGTAGATAGTGTCACGTATACAGAACTGGTATATCTTCAAGTATTTGTCGAATTATTATCCTTTGTTATTTAATCAAACCCTCATACGTTTAATCATCTTTTGGATGCTCACATCTAGATAGTTGCGTTTTCTGCCTATTTTTTTTTATAAAGAAGTTTAAATTAGCACTCTTTTTCAAAAAGAATCTATATCAAAAGAGGTTTGTGGCCCTACAACACAAAATTTTACCTGATTTTTGTCTTTGACCACTCAAATTCGAAGAACGCTAAAAATGTCCGTGGTATATTTTCTCCTTTTTAGCAGAAGTTCCTAAATAATAAAATACATTAAATCCGGAAAATGTAAGAAAATTCTCCCTCGGATGAAATTTAAAACCTACTCTGTTCATTTCATTTTTTTTTTTATAAACTGATCATTACCTGCATTTTGGTACCATATGCTGGGCAGCAAATATCATTTTCAACATATTTTTCTTGTATTTATCAAGGAAAATGATCTAAACTGCGATGCCTAATGCCTTTTGGGTGCTGAAAACTGCCCAAAATAAGTCTAAATGGGTTAAACGTAAAATGCAAATTATTGAGGAATATTAGTTCTTCACTGCAGAGAAGACCTAAAACCGTATTTTTAATTAAAGGAGTGATAGCTTTGTTGTAACTTTCCTCTTCAGTATAAATACAAATACAGTTCTATAACTGAGCTGTAAAACTTTCACTGGGCTCAAAAACCGAAAATGTATGATTGGCTCTATTGTGCGAAACCATTGTGTTGTCTCCTTAGCATAGGTCTTTAAGATAATTGGGCTCGGTGAGTCTTTTTGAGGTTCATTTAATTTTTTTTTTTTTTTTTAATAAAATGAGGATAAAAAACAAACAAATTAATGTCAGTTATCATTCTTTAATAAATTAGAAATCCTCAGGTGGTATTTAAAGTTTTATCAGTATCATCAATAATAATGATAATAATAATAATAATGAAGATGATGATAATAACAGAATGAAAGAGATGATCGTGTAAAATTTAACAAAGAAATACGAAAGTGTCAGTGAGAAAATGAGAAATTACTGGAATACTCATCCATTTAAGAAGAAAAAGAATAATAAAATGTAACCATATCCGTCTAAGAAACATTCAAAAGGAATAAGCAAACAAAATAAAAGATGCTTTTAGTTGCATCTTGGGAAACGGGTAGGGATAAAAAAAAAAAAAACGAACCTAGATAATGACAATTGACTGACGATGCTAACGAATCAGAATTCTCGTAATTCACATTAAAACAAAAAAAATAAATAAATAAAGAAACATTGAACTCACTCTGGTGACATAGTACGTTTGAGTAAAGAAATATATATAAATAGAAAGATATATATTCTTTATGAGTACATAGAGAATAATAAATATTTGGCTCATTTTTTTTTTTCATCTTTTAAACGTTATTTCATTTTAGTGAATTGTTTTGTAAATTTATAGTCAAATAGAACGTTTGTCTCTTGTCATGTTTGTTTATTCTTTTCTTTCATGTTTTAAATGCTGTTTCACAAATGTGGACTCCTCAAAAGACCTAATTGCTTATATACACATAGCTACTGTTTGTCTAAATTACATTTCAGAACACAGGCGATCACGGTGCTTCACAGTTCCTTTTCTTAAATATCTGTGAATTGTCGTAACCGCTCTTGGGAAATGTAGTGCAGTTTTTTTTTTTTTTTTTTTTTTTTTTTGCATTTTCTCAGATTTTGAATTCAGAGTTTTCATTCACCTCGTTGAGTTG